AGATTTAGTCAAACATCCCTTTGACAATCTTTCAGAAGTTAGAAGGAAGAATTTATGCTCCTCCCCAAGTTCTCTCTTCCCCAGATTAACACCCCTAGCTTTTTCAATCAATCCTCATAGAAGTCTGAGTACCCTGGATAACATATATAAAAAGTGCTTTGTAAGCACAGGTAGGCACACCCACACCCCTATAAGTTTAGACAGTGATTCACTCTCGTCATCCTCCTGGGATTCCTCCTTTATCCTACTGCCTCACCCAGCCCTGTACCTCTCACCTTTGGACCATGTTGCCTAGTTTAATGAGTGCCCACTAGATCCATTTGGCCTCATGCTTATAACCACGTTTTTTCTTCATCCCCATCATCTTCCTGCCATCCCTGTGCCTTTAAACCAAAATATCTTTCCCTATGTGTTTTGTCTTCCCATGAGAATTTAAGCTCCTTGAGGCCAAGGACTGTCCCTTTCTGTTTCATGTCCCCAGCACTTAACGTAGTGCCTAACAAAATAATGTGAGCTCTCCATAAGTTTTTCTATTCATTCATACATACAGAAAAACACACACATAAATATGTATACATAGATATATTTATGAGTGGAGAAGGAAGGAAGGTGATGTGGTATAATGGATAGAGGGCTGGCCTCAGAGATAGAAGGAAAGTTTAGGACTTGCCTTTGGTACATCCTGGTTACGTGATCTTGGACAAATCATTTAACCTGTCATTGCTCTGGGCACTTCTCTAAGACCTCAAAGTTGCAAAGTGGGTGCCAACCTATGTTGGTAGAGGCAATTTCCTATCTAGGTGCTCCCTATGCCAATGAAATCCCTGGTCCACACCCTCTCCCTAGTTTTATATACACCTCTGTGCACTAGATGATCACAGAGTTAGGAGGATTCAGAATTGATCAAATGACTGGATGTCAAAAGAATAGCCATTAATAGATCAATGTCAACTTGGCCAAAGATGTCTTTAGTGGAATGCTGCCCTAGAGATTGACCCTGGATCCTATGCTGTTGGGATTTTTATCAATGACAGATAAAGTCAAATGGCATGCTTATCGACTTTGCAAATGACAAGAGGCTGAGTTGGCTAGCTAACATGCTAGAAGACAAAGTCAGGACCCAAAAAGGTCCTGATGGGCTACAACTATAATATCATCTGATATTTATAAAGCATTCTAAGTTTTGCAAAATGTTTTTAACATGTTATCTCATTGGATCTTCATAACCACCCTGTGAAATAGGTGCTATAGATATTATTATTACTAATATAGATATATGATCCTTATAATACAGATGGAGAAAATTGAGGTACCCAAAGATTAAGTAACTTATCTAAGGCATTAAGGGTCAGAGGTAGGATTTGAACCCAAGTGTTTCCTGGCTCAAAGTCCAGTGGCATGTCTACTACACACTGATATTTCTCTCTACATTAGATTGTGAGCTCCTTGAGGAAAGGGACTGTCATTTGCCTCTTTTTGTATCCTTAGTGCTTAGCACAATGGCTGGCGTATAGCACGCACTTAATAAGTGTTTATTGACTGACTCACTCAGGGAGAGACCAGTTATAAGTCAAGTGAGATGAAATTAAACAGGAATAAATGTAAAGTCTATCAGTTGGTTCAAAAAGTCAATTAACAAGTGCAAGACATGGTAGCGTGGATAGACAACATTTCATAAGAAAAAGATCCAGAGGTTTTAATCAGACTGAAGGCAACAGTGTAACAATAGTTCACTAAAAAGCTAATTTGATCCTAGATCAGTGAGAGACATAGTACAGGAATTATCTCATTAGACAATACTCCAGTCAGAGTCAAAATCAAAACCAACAAACATTTATTAAGCACCTACTATGTACCAGACAATCCACAGTATTGTATTCATTTCTGCATACCACATTTTATGAATGAGAAGAAGAGTGACAGATATGGAGGTCATTACATGAGAACTGGTTGAAGGAATCAGGTGTATTTAGCCTAGAGAAGAGATGTAAGGGGAGACAGACCGCCATCTTCAACTATGTGGAGGACTATCACGTAGAAGAGGAATTAAGCTTGTCCTGCTGGCCCCCAGAGCAGAACTAGGAATGCTGGTTGTAAAGAAAGATTCCTGACACATCAGAGCTGTCCAGAGGCATCAGACGATGCCTTGGAAAGGAGCAGTAGAAGTAGCCCCTTAGTAGAAAGTTTCAAGTAGCAGTAGGATGATCACAGAAACATAGAATCTCAGCATCGGGAAAGATCTCCGAGTCCATCTACTCCAATCTTTACCTGGGTCATTTCTACTACACAACTGACAATGCTCCTTTGGCCTTTGTTGGAAGACCCTCCGATGAGAAGAAACCCATGACCTCCTGAGGCAGCTGATACCACTCTCAGAAAGCTCAAATGGTCAGTAATTTTCTCCTAAGTCAAATCTGCCTATTTACAACTTCCATCTATCACAGCAGTACTATCCTCTAGAGAAAAGTAGAACAGATCTAAATATTTCTTCCATAAAACTGCTACTTGATTACTTGAAGACAGCTATCACATTCCCCCTAGGTCTCTTCTTCTCCAGGTTAAACATTCTCAGATTCTTCAACGGATCCTCAGATCCTTCACGCTGGTCACCTTTCTTCTTGACACTCTCTAGCTTATCAATGCCCTTCCAAGAATGTAGTGCTTAGAAAAGAATCTGACCAGGGCCTAGTACAATAGAATTATCACTCCCCAGCCCTGGATATCATGTTTCCTTTAACATAATCTAAAATTGCATTTTTTTTGGTTGTCATATCACACTGTTGATTTATATTGAGCTTATAGTCCACTATTATCCTCAGATCCTCTTCAACAGAGCTATTAAGTAACTACGCCTTTCTTATCTTACACGTAAGATGTTGATTTTTTTGACCTGAGTGTTTCATATTTATGTCTAATAATATCCATCTTATCAAATTAAATCTATTGTTCCAGTCTTCCAAGGGCTTTTTGACCTCTGACCTTGTCTTCTAACTACGTTTACCACATTTGTGTCATCCATTAAGTTAATTTATATGCCTTTATCCTAACCATGGGAAAAATATTAAACAGTGCAATCCCAACCACAAATCCCTTGAGCACTCTAATGATACTTTCTTCCATGTCAACAATAAGCCACTGGGTCTGGCTAATCAACCTATTGTAAAATATTCATTCCTTGTCAGGAATGTTATAGAGGGAGTTCTTGGTCAGGTATGGGTTAGACCAGATGACCTGTCAGGTCTCTGACACCTCTAACATTCTACAATTCTGTGATCTACAGTTTTGGGGTATAGACATGAATGTGGCATATGTGTTTACATAAGGAGGTGGGTCAGCTCTTTTTTCTCACTGAACATTATATCAGGTCAGACAGGTAACCTTGCTGGGACTTGTTTTTCAGTTCTTTCAGTCATGTCTGACTCTTTGTGACCCAAGTTGGGATTTTCTTGGTAAAGCCACTGGAGTGGTTTGTCATTTCCTTCTCCAGATCTTTTTATAGACAGGAAACTAAGACAAATAGGGGTAATTGATATGCTTAAAGTCACACAGCTAATAAGTGTCTGAGACCAGATTTGAACTCAGGAAGATGAATCTTTCTGACATCAGGCCCAGTACTTTATCCATAGTGCTACTTAACTGCTCGGGCCCAAATACTTTGAGTATCCCATGTCTGTCATCTGACAGTCAGATTGGCTACGTTTGGAGGAGCTCATCACCAGATTGATCTAAGGACAATGAAAGTTCTAGCCACAACAACTCTCAAAGACCACCTACAAAGTCATAGAATGGGATCTACCTATACTGGTAGAGAGTGTAACATACTGACAAAATCATGGCTTCTCAATGTATTATAGTCATGAAGTGGCAAAATGGTAAGAGTTCTGGATTTGGAATCTGAGGACCTGGGATCAAATCCTGTCTCTGTCACTTCCTATCTATGTGTCCTTGGACAAATCACTTGATCTGTCTGGGTCTCAGATTCCTCAACTATAAAATGAGAGGGTTGGATGGATGGCCCATAAGGTTTCTTCTAGTTCTGCACCTATGCTCCTAACTAAACATGATTGCCTACATGAAGTAAGAGTTTTCCAATGTCACAAAGAGTTATCTGCTTTCAAGAAGCTAGAGGAAGTGCATTGTGCTTTCCTGGGAAATCAACTAATAGTGATAAGTCATGTCATTCACTTCATATCACTGACTTTCTTAATTTAGAATCTACCCAATTCCCCAGCTTTCTTGATCTGAGCCAACCATCATCCCCTCCCTGTGGCAGCATCACATGCAAATAGCTGGAAAGCCTGAAATCTAATGATGAGAGGAGATTGACAGAAGGTCAGAATGAAAGCCCAATAGCAAAACAAGCTGTGATATATGATTGTGATGGAATATTGTTGTGCTATAGGAAATGACAAGCAGGGTGATTTCAGAAAAACCTAGAAAGATTTACATGAACTGGTACAAAGTGAAGTCAACAGAACCAAGAGAATGTTGTATACAGTAAGAGCAATATTGTACAATGAAGAACTGTGAATGACTTAGCTATTCTCAGCAATATAATAATCTAAGATAATCCCAAAGGACTATGATGAAGCATACTGTCTACCTCCAGAGAAAGAACTGATACTGTTTGAATACAGACTGAAGCATACTATATTTCACTTTCTTTTCTTTCTTTTTCTTTTATTCAAGTCTTCTTCTACAACATGGCTAATCTGGAAATGTTTTACATGATCACATATGTATAGCCTATATTTGATTACTTACTATCTCAGAGAGGGGAGAAGGGAGGGAGGGAGGGAAGCTCAAAACCTTAAAGCAAATCCCAAATGTTAAAAAATTGCTTTAATATGTAATGGGGAGGGATAAAATATATTAAATTTCAGAATGAAAGCCCAATGGTTCTAACAGTTATTGAATGAGTGATCAAAAATGGATTCTTAGTGGTCCTTTGTTTTCTCCCTACTTCATTTCCCTCCTGCCCTTTTTTAATACGGAATTACCGAAGGCGTGTGATTGGGAAGGGTCACACCCTCTCCAGGCGCACTGGCAATGGTGGATTCCCTGTTCATCTCGGGGGTTGGATTCTTCTTATGGAGCTTCTGAGCCCTGTGACAAAACCAAACATTGGCTGAAACACCCTTCCAAAACCAACCAAGAAACAAACCCAAACAGGAGTCTCAACTTTGTGGCAATTTAGATAATTGCTTAGAAAACCTAATGTTGTCTCCTCTGTTAGAATATAAGTTCTTTGGACAGCAAGAACTGTTTTTGTTTTTGTCTTTGTATCCTCAGTGCTTAACAAGGTGCCTGGCCCATAGTAAGCCTTTAGTAAATGATTGTTGGCAGATTTACTTTGTATCCTCAGCACTTAGGACAGGTCCTGACAGTACATAAGCCATTAATACATACTTGTTGATTGATGCTGCTTCTTGCATCCTTATGTCTCCCTTTGAAGTCTTCTCTGACCCTATTACTACTACTACTACTACTACTGCTGCTGCTGCTGCTGCTGCTGATGTTGCTGCTGCTATTACTACTACTTATAGGGTCTTGAAAAGAATAGGCACGTTGTTCTCAGTAGCCAAGTGGCATAGTGGATAAAGCAGTGGATTTGCAGTCAGGAAAGCCTGAGTTCAAATCCTGCCCTCATACATTTACTAGGTATATGCCCTTGGGCAAGTCACTTAACCTCAATCAGCCTCCGTCTTCTGTACAGTGGGGATGATAGTACCTATCTCACATGGTTGTTGTTGGAGGCACGCAGGTGGCAGAGTGGACCTGGAGAAAGAAAACCTGAGTTCAAATCTGGCCTTCGATACTTACTATGTGACTCTGGGTAAGTCACTTTACCTCTCTTTGCCTCAGTTTCCTCAACTGTAAAATCAGGATAAAAATAACACCTACATCTCAGGGTTCTTGTGAAGATCAAATGAGATATTTGTAAAGCATAAAGCATATAATAATTGCTTGCTTCCTTCATTTCTTTTACAGATGAGGAAATTGAGGACTGAAGATCCTAAGTGAATACAAATCACTATTCTCAAAGGTGAGTAGAGCACAGCTGCATCCTAATGGAGGTTCTCTAATTCCCTGTCCAGTGCTTTTCTGCTATTTGACACCATGGTACCAAATGTTGATTTACTTGCAGGGAAAATGTTATTCAAATATGAAGTAATCATGCTTTATGAAATGTTAATCTGTAGAAGCAATTTTATCTAATTTAGACTCTAAAACATTCTTAATTTGAGAGGGGAATACAGGAAAGGGATATAGGAAGGTGAGACTGGGAATGAGATAGAGGGAGAAAAGTGACTGCTAACTCTCTGTAAATGAACTCCATAGCCCAGAGATCCTACTGCCAGGCACATACTCCAAGTAGGTCAATGATTTTTTTGAAAGGCTCTAAAATATTTATAGCAATACCTTTTGTGTTAGCAAAGAGTCAAAGACAGTAAAATTTAGTTATTTATTTAAAGGCATTTATTAAGTTCTTACTGTATGCCAAGAACTGTGCTAAGCACTGATGAAACAAAGGACTGAAAAAACAGGGTCCCTGCCCTCAGGAACTCTCATTCCAAAGAAAATGATGTAGCATATCCTTCAACTGGGGAGTGGCTAAACCAACTGTGGTACATGAATATAATAGAATATTATTGTGCTGTAAGAAATAATGAAGGCAAAGAAGTATGGGAAGAATAATGTGAACAGATGCAAAGTGAAGTAATCAAAACTAGGAATAAATCAAAACCAATAACTACAACAATGCAAAAGGAAAGACCAAGAACAATAAAATAATAGAAATAGAATCATAATTACCTACCTTGATCCCCAAGGAAAAAATATGAAAACGGAGCTTCTTCCCTATTTGCAGAGGTATAGGGTTATGGACATAGAACACTATCAGTTGTGGTTAGTGTATTGGTTAGTTTTGCTGGACTATTGTTGTTGTTGTTGTTGTTGTTGAATTGTGTCTGACTCTTTATGACTCCATTTGGGGTTTTCTTGGTGAAGATATTAGAGTGGTTTGCCATTTCTTTCCCCAGCTCACTTTGCAGATGAGGAAACTGAGGCAAACAAGGTTAAGTGATTTGCTCAGGGTCACCCAGCTAGCAAGTGTCTGAGGCCAGATTTGAATTCAGGAAAATGAATCTTCCTGACTCCAGGCCCAGTATTCTATTCACTGTGCCAACTAGCTGCCCCATTTCTTTTTTTTATCCTTTGTTATAAAGAATTAATGTCTAGAAGGTGGAGAGAAGAGACATATATTGGGAAACATAGGTGATGTAAAAATAAAAGATATTAAATAAATTTTTTTAAAGTAAGAAAATGAATTCATATAGTACTATAGGAAAAGCCATGTTTTCTGAAATCAAAAACCTAGGTTCAAATCCTTCCTCTGATAATTAATACCTCTATGACCTTAGACTAGTCACTCTGGGTTCCCAGGTCTCAGTTTACCTATCTGTAAAATGAAGGGATTCAGCTAGGTGACTTTTAAGGTAGCTTCCAGCTTTAGATTCACGATGCAGGACCCTATTAGTCCTGTGGATTCACACGTGCAAAATAAAAACAATGCAGTTTCAAGGTCAATGCTCGTCTTGGCGCTTCAGTGGTGGTGGAGGAAGGGTGTTGGGGGAGGGGAGGAGCAGTTTAAATCACTAGTTTTAGTTTTACATGAATGATGCAGCCAGGGCTGTGGTACAAATCCATGCAAACCCATAAATGAAAATTTTGTTGTTGAGGTGAGCAATTATACTGAAGAGAACCTTTAGATAAAGTACAGAAAATCAGTTCAGAATGACCCTTATTGAAAGACAGAAAGAAAGAGAAAGAGAGACAGAAAGACAGAGACAAAGAAACCGAGATAGAGACAGATTTCACAAAAAGAAAAGAAAAAATATGCCCGCTAACCTTTTACTTAAACAGTCCCCTCTCTACTTGTGCCTTTGGGAATAGGGTAGGACAAGTCCACAATGTGTGAGGGCAGCTGAAGAAGTCTTTATTTGTATATTTATCCTATATACATCATTCAACCGCTTTAGCTTTCAAATCCCAAGTCAAGAAAACAGACTGATTTGCAATTAGCTTTAAATCCAGAGCTCTGAAATAGTCAATAGAACATGAGAAATGTAGTGGCACCGTGACCATAGCTTAATATACTTTCACCCATTAAATAAGAAAAGTCCCTGACTAACTTAATTACACCAAGAAGCCCATGGACTGAAATTTCTCCAACTTTTTTTTTTGAGAGGAGTAGATGGAAAGTAAGAGGCAGCTATTACAAAGACAATAGCAAATAATCTATTTTCTTTCTGACCACCAAGGGTCATGAATGTCTCAGTTGTTCAATATTCCTTCTAAGAAAGTCAACTGAACATCAGACTAAGAAAAGGAGATGTTGATACCCAATAACATCTGGATATCCATTCTACCCCTCAGGATGTCACCGCCCTAGCTATACCTACTGGCCCCATTGGGAGTGATTGTCTATGAAGAAGTAGCCACCAGATTCTGCCCTACACATTCTAAGTGTAGACAGGTCTACAGAAGCTTCCCCACTGTGGTTCTAGCAAAACAAGTTTAGACTTTTCTTTTCTTCCACACAGTAATCCTTCAAATACTTGATAAATTATCAACTCACTCCACTGGGGAGCTAGAGCCACCTCCTAGGTTCAAGCTGATTGCTAAATTTTCAGTGTTAACATTCTCACCTAAGAAATTTGCAAATGCTACAAATCAGGGCTTGACTTATTGTTTTGTTGAGGTGATGGAGAAAATGTTAATGATGCAGAGTGAACTTAAAAGCATATCATGAATAACCTTTTTTTAAAAAAGTTGTTAAACATTTGCCAACGCAGCCCTGCCTCTCTTCTAAATCTTTCTTTCTCCAGGCTAACTTTCCCAGCTCCTTTAATCCATTCTTCTATGGCATGGATTTAAATCTCCTAATTATCCTAATTACCTTCATTTAGAGTGATCTATTTAATGAACTTATAGGACCTCATGTCATTCCCATTCTATACTCATGCAATGGTTTTTTTAAAACCTATGCAAAAGAGTTTGCATTTAGCTTTGTCTTTGAATGTAAGTTCCCAGAGATTGGAGGCCAAGTGTATTAAGTCAGCAGGAAGGGTTCTTAAAGAATAATTTTAAGGGGCAGGTAGGTGGCATATTGGAGAGAGCTATGACCCTGGAGTCAGGAGGACGTGAGTTCAAATTTGGTCTCAGACATTTACCAGCTATGGACCCTGGGCAAGTCACTTGACCCCGATTGCCTTACGGAAGAAGAAGAAGAAGAAGAAGAAGAAGAAGAAGAAGAAGAAGAAGAAGAAGAAGAAGAAGAAGAAGAAGAAGAAGAAGAAGAGAGGAATGCAGTATAGCCTAGTAGTAGATAAAGAGTTGGGCTATAAATCAGGAAGACCACAGCTGAGTCTCTGATACTTACTCATTGTGTGACCTGGGCAAGTCACAGCCTCTCAGTGCTCGTCTAAGTAATGCTCTAAAACTATACACTGCAGTGTTGTTGTTCAGTCATGTCCAACTCTCTGAAACTCCATCTGGGGCTTTTTTGGCAGAGATACTGAAGCGGTTTGCAATTACCTTCTCCAGCTCATTTTACAGATAAGGAAACTGAGGCAAGTGGGGTTAAGTGACTTGCCCAGGGTCACACAACTAGTAAGTTTTGTTTTTAAAAAGCTAATTTTGCTTCTCATGGCCTCTCAATTGAGCATAGGTGGTTTGCCTTTGGTTAGAAGAGGAGATAAAGTGTTTGTTCTGAATTTCGGATAGAACAAAAGTTTCACCTGAAATGGTAAGTGACCCCCAAGGCCAGGAGGAGCAGCAGAACCAGCACAACCACGCAGACAGCCACGGTGATATTCTGCTGTTTTGTCATCGTCACGTGCCGCATCTCCCACCATTCCAGGTCACTGTGCTGACAGCGCTCTCCTACATAGCCAGCCACGCATCTGTAACACACACACAAGCCCAGAAAAATAACAGTTCCCCAGGGCACTTCTTGCTATCCCCCTCTTCCACCCTCAGCTTACTTCCTGACCATCCATATCCCGGCATCTAGGAGCAATATCTGGTCAGAATCCAACCCCCAGCCTCCGTGTTTCCAACTCCCCGCCTTTCTGAAGTCATCTTAGAAATCCATCATGGATCAGAGAAGGTCATTGAGATTTACAGGCTAACCCAGTGAGGGCTTTTTGGTTTTGTCTGTTTGCCCTGGGATTGACAGTGAATTACTTGCCTTCCACCTCTAGAAGGCATTGATTAAGGATCAGGTTCTGTTAATCTAAAATCCTGAAAAGCCACATAAAAACCAGCCCACATTACCTGCAGCCTGAGAAATAGCAGATCCAATCAGGTCAATGAAAGAGGAAGAACTGCAGAGGAATCCCCCTCCCCAAACCCATCTGTGGGTTGAGGAATAAAAGAACATGTGGGGCCTCTGAATAATGACAATGGTGTGGAGTATGGAGAATACCTTGTTAAAATGGTAGCTACAAGGCACAGAGTGCTAGGCCTGGAGTTACGAAGACCCAATCTTGGATCTGACCATGTAACCTCTGCTTGCCTCACTTTCCTCAACTGTAAAGTAGGGGGAAATAATACCCAAATGGGGTCACAAAGAATCGGACATGACAATGATAAAAATAAAAAACTCCTAGAGCTGTTGTGGAGATCAAATGAGATCATATCTGTAGCCTATATAATAGGTGCTTAATAAATTTTTCTTCCTTTCCTTATCCAAACCCCCTTCCTCACCCAGCATCCTTCAAGACTCAGTTCAAATTGACTTTCTACAAGCCTTTACCAGTCGTCCTTACTGCTAGTGCTTTCCTTTTGAGATTATTTCCTGTTTACCATGTATGTGCCTCGGGGTGTTTGTGCGTGGTGTGTGTGTGTGTGTGTGTGTGTGTGTGTGTGTGTGTGTGTGTTGTGTGTGGAGTATGTGGCATACAAGATACATTGCAAACAAAATGCATAGTTGTAAGCATGTTGTCTTCCTGGTTAGAATATAAGCTCCTTGAGGTCAGGGATTGTGTTTTTGCTTTTCTTTGTAACCCTAGTGGTTAGCACAGGACCTCCCAAAAGTAGGTACAAAATAAAAACATATTGACTGACTGACAAAGCCCCCAATGAGAAATTAGTGCAGAAAAAGACATCTCTTCTCTCTCTCTCTCTCTCTCTCTCTCTCTCTCTCTCTCTCTCTCTCTCTCTCCTCTCTCTCTCTCTTTTCCTCTCTCTCTTGCTCTCCCCCCACCCCCTCTCACACACACATAGACATACGCAGCTACACTGAGCATTTTCATTTGCAGGATGTATTACCAAAATATTGTACAATTTCTTCCTTTGTGCTTAAATGTCATTAATGACACAATGGTGCCATCTACTGGACAAAAGCTCTCTGTCACCCTTTCCCATACATGAACATACAGTTTATCCCTTCCACATCAAGACCTTTCCCCGTTGCCATTTCAGTATATTGTAGGTCAGTGTAAGAAATCAAATGGGAACATTGGCAGTTTTGCAGAAGCCACAGACAACACACAAAGGCCAGCAGTTGACACAGAAAAAGTTTAGAAACTCAGAAATGCATAAATATGTGCATAGTATTGTATAATATCAACATATTTCCTTTAATATTGTAATAAGTCAGACTTCTTCTCTGATGAAGGGAGGGAGGGCCAAAAAGTTTTAAGCAGATTTTCCAGATGGGGAGGGGGGCACCACACCCCTAACCCTCCCCCCATCTCGGGACTCAGAAGGATAACTGTACATTCAGGATCAGGCTAATGGTGTTCTATGAAATAACTGAACATTGTCAATCAATGGGTGTTTATCAATAACCTAAAACAGGCCAACTATTGTACTGGGCACTAGAGATACATAAACAACAGTGAAACAGTCCCTATCCCTAGAGAATTTACATAATTATAATCTATCTAATTACATTAGGGCCCAGAGAGGTTTGAATGATTTGCCTGAAAGTTACAGAGCTAAGTTAGTTACCTTCACATTTAAGAGTATTCACTTCAGGTAGACCCTGGGCCACTAATATCAATCAGAAAGAAATTCAAGAACGATGACAGAGAAAAAAGTTACTCCAAATGTGTTCCACACCAATGAAATCCAAGTTCCTCCAGAATTCTTCTACTTGGCTCCTCAAAATTCCTGTCTGATCTTGGTCAGACCAGCTGATGAAGCCGAGCTGATATCAAGCTCAGTGTTCACCTACACCAGGCATATGGGAAGAGGCACCATGTTATCATGGGAAAAACACTGGATCAGGAATTGAGAGATCTCTGTTTTAGTTCTAACACTAAAACTAACTAGCTGGGTAGTTAATTTAGCTGTGTAACTTTTGAGCAAGTCATTTGAACCTCTCTGGGACTCAGGTCTAACCCCAGAAGGTTAGACAGATAACTAAAGCTCCTTCAAGCTTAAAAATTCTCTGATTGGCCATGCAAATGAGGGAAAACCTGACCGATGTGTGCAAAGGGGCCGTGAAATCCTTTTCATGGAGACCTCCCCATCCTTCCCTCCTATGAGAACAAGAAGGGGAAGAACAGAGATGACTGTTGGAAAGTTCAATTCTTTCTTTGGGTCCTACTCTGTGAGTACTGTTGCTTCCCATATATTGCTTGGCAGCCAATAAGAAGATACTGTCTGCCATTAGATCACACTTCTGGTTCTCCATACAGATTTAAGAGGCTCTGAGAATGTCCCAGGAGTATACAATGGAACTGTTTTGGGCTCTCAGAATCCATTTCAGGCAGCAGTTATCCCAAAGGTTTTATCCTGAAAAAGGCCTTAATGAGGCTTTGCCTAGTAGTATTCAAAGCCTTGGTAGTGATTTTAATTATGTCTTGGGCTCATTTCAAAGAAAATGACATAAGTATAAATATCAACATGAGAAACAGCATTCACATTAGTCATTCACCTCCAACAACATGCATGAGAATTGAACATTATTATTGTTAGATTCCTATTATGTGAAATTCAAGAGCATTCACGTAGTTTCAGAAGATTTGTAAAAATAACCTCACTAATAGCGGGGTCTGGATGAGACTATTCATTGCCAGTTAACATAAAATAATAATAATATCACCTTACGAACTTCAGGACCTATCTTTGTAAAGATCAAATATTCAGGGGCATTTCCTCTTCTTTGACAGAGATGATAATAATGATGATGATGATGATATTAATAATAATAATAAAAGCTAACATTTATATAATGTCAGGCACATGCTTTACAATTTTTAATCCCATATGATCCTCACAATAACCCAAGGAAGTAGGTGCTATTATTATTCCCATTTTAGGGATAAGGAAACTGAGGTAAACAAAGGTTAATTGACTTGATATTTATACGTGATTGATCTTTAGACTGATATTGACAGGGAAACTGAAAAGGGAAGTGAGCCAATCATATAGCTAGAGGGAAGAATAACAAATGAATGCTCTCCTGTATTCAAACAAAAACACTTTTCAAATAATATCAATATAATAATTATCATAATAATTTTAGAATAAATATGATAGCTAGAATTTACATAACATTTTCAGGTTTGGAAAGCACTTTACAAATATCTCATTTGACCTTCACAACAACACTGGGAGGTAGATGCTAGTATTATCTCCATTTTACAGATGAGGAAACTGAGGCAGACTGAGGTGAATTGACTTAGTCAATGTCACACAGCTAGTAAACATCTGAGGCTGAATTTGAACTCAGGTCTTTCTGATTCTAGGTCCAGCATTGTACCATCAAGCTCCCTCCATTCTATATTTGTAATATATTTAGAGCAGTGATTCTAAAATAGGGTGATCCAGGGTCCTCTAAGGGTTAAAACCATTTTCATAATAATACTAGGATGTTTCAATTTCCAATAATGTGAATACAGATAGCCATGATGCACAGAAACAAAAGCTCTTTGGAAAGTTGCAAAGGTTGAGAATTATGGATCTAGAGAAAAGCCCCAACATGCTAGGCAGATCCCCCTGTGGAAGATCCATGGGATGGTATAGACTAGGGATGGAGAACCTGCAGCCTCGAGGTCCCACGTGGCCCTCTAGGTCCTTAAGTACTGCCCTTTGACTGAATCCAAACTTCACAGAACAAATCCCTTTAATAAAAGGATTTATTCTGTAAAACTTGGACTCAGTCAAAAGGCTGCTCCCTAGAAGGGCTCATGTGGCCTCAAAGCCAGAGGTTCCACACCCCTGTACAAACAAAAGTTGCCCAGGATGAGAAAGCATGGATGGGTAGCAATTCGTACCAGGAGAGAGAGTAACCACATAGATGAGATCTCAGATCCATGAGCATATCAAAGACCCAAAGACATTCAATTGGGTTTTAAGGCTTTCAAAGCACTTTTATACACGCAATATCAAAGCTATCAATAAGTCCAGCTAAAAATAATAACAGTAGCTCACATGTATATAGTAGTTAAGTATTCCTAACGTGTTTTCCTCAGAACCACACTGTGAGGTTGATGCTATCATCACTTACAAATGAAAAAACAGAGACCCAATGGAGCCCATGGCCCAAACTGAGCTCTCTCTGCCCTCTTGCCTGTCTCCTGTGCACCTTGAAAGCAGGCAGTTAGTTGAAATCAAATCTGGCCCACAGCTAGATTTTTATTCCAAAATAAATATGTAAAGATACTAAGGGATAGTTTTTCAAAAGTGAATGCAATTGGCATGCTTGCTAAGTTGCCAGCATTTCCTTGAACCCAACATTCATGTTCACACTTGCTTGATTCTGAATGACAACACATTTCTGTAGGCACAGCTGGATTGAAATCTTCTTGGGGAAGGGGGAGGGATCAGAGATGGAGCAGGAGTAAGACCAGTAACTATTCCCAGCTTTGAAAATCTAAATAATACCTATTGGGAAGAGGGAGGATGAACCTTTCAATATTGGGGTTGAAAGCAAAACAACCCAGTCATGAAGTTGTACACCACTCTTGGAAAACTAGAAATACCCATTGGTTGCTCTTTCTCACATTTCTGGAAGAAATGTCACAGTATTGAGAAACTCCCCTGTGAAGCCAAGGTCCCAAATCTGAGCAAGGAGTCTGAGATCTGCTGATAGCCTATTATCTGAAGAAAAGCACAGACTTCTTGGACTGGACACATTAATCTCAATGGAGACTTCTTCAGTTCAAACAGCAGCCGATCTCCTGGAGACAGCTAGAATGCTTTTTAAACTCCCTAGAGGATATATTGCTTCAGTACTGAGTACGTGCTGCCTTGGAAAGATACAATTAACAGAGGCTCATACTCACTTGCATGCATAGTTTTCTAGCTCTGAAACATAAATGCACACTCCTCCGTGGAGGCAGTATGAGTCATATGGTGGTGGACACTCTGAATTCCTGCTTCTAATGAGAGAGGAAGTGTCATCCCCAGGCTGAAAAGATTCTGTAAGACAATGTTTCAAAAACATCTTTAAACCTTGATATTTTCAAAAATGATTCAGTCATTCTTGGCACAATTATACGTATCTAATTTACATAAACAGTTCATGATTTCTTTTTCACATCAGTGGAAATATTAACAGTGATGACAGTTTCACTTGTCCACCCAACCTTACCCTTCAGCTACTAAAGTTAATGTCAATCACGATTTACTTAGACCTGCATTGCCTTTCTTCACTTTCTCTTTTATTTGGCCTAGAGCATTCTACAGGCAGATAAGAGTGGGATGACAGCTCCCAAAGCGGCATGTTAATTTCATTTCATTGAAATCAAAGAATCCCAGGATTTAGAGTTGAAAGGCACCTTTGAGATAATCTAGTTGACCCCTCTCATTATAGAGATGAGGAAACTAAAACCCAAAGAGCCTAAAATTACTTGTCCAAGGTCACACAGCTAGCAAAGAGCAGATGTGGATTTTGAAACCAGGTCCTTTGACTTCCATGATTAAAAAGAAAGATCTACTTAATAAACAACACTTAACTAATGTCTGATGAGAGCTAACTTCAAAAGGCTCACTCAAAACTGGTATTTGTTCCTGGCTTAATGAACATCCAATGAGTATTTGATCCAAGAACTATAGTTGCTGTATTCATACAAGCTAGGGAAAATAAATTCTTTGAAAAAGTCATTGAAATGCTTCTGGTCAACACTGTAATAGGAGGGAAATACTATGCATACTATGTGCCAGGCACTGTGCTAAGAGCTTTTACAATAGGATTGGAGATTTAGTGCCCACCATTTCATAGGAAATCGAGGCCGACAAGCTAAAGTAACAAGCTCCTTCCCCATATAATCTGAGATCCAGCGACATAGCCTCTTTTTGTATTCCTCATACATGATACTACATCTCCAGACCCCTGGCATTTTCACTGGCTGTCCCCCATTCCCAGAATGCTTTCCCTCCTCATCTCCTTTTCTTAGCTTCTCTGACTTTCTTCAAGCCCCAGCTAAAATCCCACCTTCTACAGAAAGCCTTTTCTGATCCCCTTTAATTCCAGTGATTTCCTTCTGTTGATTATCTCCAATTTATCTTGTATTTAGCTTGTTTTTCCATAGTTGTTTGCATGCTGTCTTCCTAATTAGGATGTAAGTGCCTTGAGAACAGGGACTTTTGTATTTCTGAGTATTCCCAGTTCTTATCACAGTGCCCGGCACAGATTAGGCATTAGATAAATGCTTATTGACTGGCTAACTTGCTCCACATCAAAAAGGGAAAGAGTAAGGGCTCAAACCCAAGTCCTCTGGATCCACATCTCACCCTCTTTCCACTGCATCATGCTGTCTCACAGTTTCCTGAAAATCCTTGCCTTCCCCCACATCCAACTTTCTTCTTAGAACTACTTAGACTACTCAAGAATCCTTAAAAGTATGGGATCTCTGCCCTCAGCGTCCCTCCTCACAGCTAACCCAGAGCCTGGGAGATGAGGGCCATCGCTCCCAACACCCCACACTCTACTACCCTCCCTTGGACGTCAAAAGAGGGTGGAAAGCTGAGGGGGGGACATGTCCGTGAATAGAGCTAATAATGCAAAAATGGGATCCCCCCCCAAAAAAAAGAATCCTTAAAAGTAGAACAGCAACAGCTTTGACAGAAAGGAAACATTGGGATAATGAGGGAATGATAGGTTGATGAATTCATTTTATTACAAGCTTCATTCTTCTTAGAAGGAAAAGCATCAGAGCACAACGTTGAAAGGAATTCGGGAGGATCTTGCGGAGATTTCTGCAAGGTGGCTAGAAATGCCAACACCTTTTCATCACCTCTAAGGAGAGGAGATTATATGAGATGGTGAGGTGTGAGAAACAGAACTGCAGTGAAGCAAATTCACAAATTTTTTTTTTTCTGCAAGAGCTTGTCTGCTTACACAGCTACCCTGGGAAGCTGCTAGTTAGCAGCTAAATGATCAAGGCAAGCAGGGACTCAAGAACCACCCTAGATGGAGTCCAGAGTTTCTTGGACATAAAGTGTGATCCATCAAAGGTTTCCTGTTTCTGGAGATATTTTCCTTCAAAGTTCAGCTCAAATGCAAGCTCCTGCAGGAGGCCTATCTTAATTCTTCCCCCACTGCCCTCCTCAAAAAAAAAAAAAAACAACTACTTGCTAATTGCTTTGTAACTCTACTTTGTGTGTTTCCTATTTAACGTCCTGTGTAGATGTACATGTTGTTTTCAAAAGAATGTAAGTTCCTTGAGGGCAAGACCTGTTTTGGTTTTGTCTTTGTATCCCCAGAATGTATCAATGTGCCTGGCATATGATGTGGTCTTAATAAATGCTTGTGAAATGAATAAGTGAGTGGATGGATGGATGAATGGATGGATGAATGGATGCATGAATGGATGAATGGATGGATGGATGGATGAATGAATGACAATGCTATTTTAGGGGGAAAAGACAAAAAAAGCCAAGGTTGAATATTTTCCAGCAGCAAGGAAGGAAGAAAAAATAATGTGGAACTGAAGCTCTCATGCAGATAAAGAAATATTCCTTTTCATGTAACAAGAAAAAGAAAGTTTAGGAATAACCATTTCTTTTAATCCATTAAAGTAACTCTCATGATAAAGGATATTTAGGAGCTCAGATGAATTCCCCTGACCTGCCTGGTATTGTAGAGGGCAGTTACTCTAGCAGACTCTGACATCAACATTACAAATCAGGAGATTAGCAGCATTGCAAAGTAATAAAAGAGATTCATTCCAGACACTATTAAATTAAGGCAACTTGGAATATTTGATTCTCCCAAGCCTAGCACCAACTTAGGCAGAATAGCTGGAGAATGCAGCTGAACATTGCTGAGTAATTCCTGGAACCTTCAGTGGAAATACCACTCACGAGGTTTGCTCTGAGTTAAGTAGCAGCTCTTCTCTGGACCACCCACTGACTTACCAGGACAGACAGATCCAGACCCAGGTGCACCATTAGAGCAGATGCATGTGTAGCCTCCCTCTGTATTTTTACAGATGGCACTTTCTCCACATTTGTGCACTCCCGTTTCACACTCATCAATATCTTCAAGAGAAGCAGATGTCAAGGGAAAGAAAAGAGATAATATAGAAAAAGAAAAAGGAAGACATAGTTAGAAAAATGTAATATTCTGAGAAGGGATCAACAGAGTTCTATTCTATTCCCTCCTTTAGAATTGAACTGATCATTACACACAATGAGGTTACAAAAAAACAAAACCCAGGTCGAGAATGTGAGAGACCCAAACTAGTTCATATGAATTTACTGCCTTTCCTTTCAAAACAAGAGCGCCTGGCCTGAAATGGCTTCAAGTCCAAAGAGCACCCTGGACATTATGCTACCTACCAGGTAAGTGGCAAGATGAAAATTTTCTGTCAGACAGATGAAAAAGAGAAATGATAAAAATGTAATGTAGTTGACTTTCTAGGAGTTTAGGTAGTTACTTATTGTTCTAAAACGTCTAAATCACTTCCTTCATATTAGTTTCTAAATGAGCTGGGGGGGGGGTGCCATCACCAGTCATCCTGATCTATAATCTGCCACTGGACCCATGGCTCTAGAGGAAAAAGTGAGGCTGGTGACTTTGCACAGCCCTCCCTCACTTAAATCCAATTCACTTGCATCACCTTCCTGATGTCATGATCCTCTTCAAGAATGAAGGACAAAAAACAATAAATTAGCTATAGTTTTAGGCTTGACTTCTACCAATATAAGGTGGCATCATGCCTACAGATCTGGCCTCCAAGTAATTTACTTATCAAAAGATTTTTGGACTGAACTTGTGATTTCAATGGCTTGTAAATTTCCAGTGAGGAAACCCTCTTGATCAATGTAAATCATTACCTGCTAAGAAGTTAATGACTTGCCCAGGGCCAGCTAGCCAGTTTGTGCCAGAGGCAGGACTTGAACCCTAGTCTCCGTTATTCCAAGTCTGACTCTATCTGTCCACAATACCACTGCTATTGCCTTTCATCAAACAGTTTGACCAACCTTAAATATGTGTTTGTGTGTACTCACACATCTTGCTTTTCCTGACCTAGTTTTTCCCTCTAATAACAGAAGAGAAGTGGCCATACTGGCTTCTATCCTTCAGCCCAAGGTTAGCTCCCAAAATTAGGAGCTGATTCAGATTTCACTAAAAAAGTTCCTACTTAAGGTCTTTTATGTTCTGGCCCCTCCCCATCTTTACATCCTTCTTAGAATCTTCCCTTCTAAGCAGTCCCTGCCCGGAACACAACTGCTCATTTCTCCCCTCTCTGACTTTGCACTGGCTTTCCCACAGGCTCAGAATGCTCCCCCTCATCACATCTGCCACCTGGCTTCCCTGGCTTCCTTCAAGACTCAGCTCAAATGCTTTCTTCTACTGAAGACCTTTCCCAGTTATTCATACCGTCCCTTCCAAACACATATGCTGATACTGCCTGCAGCTAATGGCTAGGATAGAGCTCGGGACCTGGAGTCAGGAAGACCTGAGTTTGAATTTGACCTCAGACGCTTCCTAGCTAGTCAAGGAAGTTTGCCAAACTGCCTCCATTTCCTCTTCTGTAAAATGAACTGGAAAAGGAAATGGCAAACTACTCCGGTATCTTCAGCAAGAAAACCCCAAATGGGGTAATGAAGAGGAGGACATGACTGCAACAACTGAACAACCACCTTAACTGTAAAATGGAGATAACCCTACCCACGGTTGAGTGCCTGACACCTAATAGGTCCTACATAAACATTTATTCCCTTCCCGCATTTATGCTGTATATAGTTTGTGTATAATTTTGCTGACTTTCCCAACTAGACTGTAAGCTCCTTGAAGGCAGAGCCCATGTTTTTGCCTTCCTCTGTGCCTGGAACATAGTAAGCCCTTCAGAAATGCTTGCTGATTATCTGATTGGTTACCTCTGTGTCCTTGCTTCAACTAATAACACAAATTGACCCCTTTTGCTGACTTCCTCCTCTCTCCTGGCTTTACTTTCCTCATGAGAAAGATCATCTGTTTAGGCATTGGGAGAAGATGTGGTTGTGTTCTTAGTGGCAAAAGAAGAAAAAAAAGTCTGAGAGGATGCAGCATGATACAAATGGTAAATGCACTAGTTCTGGAATCAAAGGACTTGGGTTCAAATACCACCCGACTAAAGCTTTTACTGTATGACTGAGTCACAAGCTTCAAAATGCGAGTAGGTTTGAACTAGATGGCCTCTAAAATCTCTTCCAGGTCTAAAACTATGATCTCAACCAAAAAAAAGAGAGGGGCAAGCCAATTTATTCTCTTATTTAGAGATCAGAGGTTAGTCCTACAAGACAGGGCACTGATATTGTGTGTGGCCACCACTGGAAAGAACCTGTTGAGTAAAAGGCTTGGGGACGGGCAGAAACCTCAAGCTAAGAGAGTTTTAACCAGCCAAGAGAGGATCCTTTTCTTTTTCATCAAAAGAAATTAAATAGAAACCTAGTTTGTTTAAATTATCTATGATCTATTTCATTAGAGCCATGACATGCCCGCCAAATACACGCTTAAAAGAGCATTTATATATATATATATATATATATATGTATATAATATATATGTATATAATATATATGTAATATATATAATACATTTTATATATATTTATAATACACACACACACACACACATATATATATATATATATATATATATATATGTATAATTATATATATATATATATGTATGTATATATGCCTGTGGTCTCCAGGGAATTAACCTGATAAGGGTCTGATTTAAACCAACCTAAGCTGGAAAATTCGTGGTTGGGCTGATAATTCTTTGTCTTTCCCTCAGCATGTCTGCAAGATGGCAGTCTATTTAATAGGAACAATGTTCATGTCACAGTTCCTCATTATTGCATCAGTGGGTATCACCTCACTGTGGACAGCTCTTTTCCACAAAAAAAAAAAAAAGGAAATAGAAGCTAAGAGACTGAAGGAAATGAAATCCCATGGACGGCTCCACACACTTCATTTTGACAAGGCTGGCTCTGGGCAGGTCTTCACTTGCAGGATAATGCTAGTGACAAGTGGAATGGTAAGACAAGTCATGAAATGAACTGACAAACCTACAAGCCACACCCAAATTCTGGCAGAAGAGACAGTGGTTATAAAAGTGGCTTTTTCCTGAGCCTGTATGTCCTCTAGTCACACATAAATGTCAGCAGCTTGAACCTCAGAGTTATTTAACTGAGCCAGAACACTAAGATAGGCTTTCCCACAGAGCCCCACCCTTCCTCATTTATATGCACACAACAATTTCCAATAAACCTCCAGCAGCAGCAAATTTCCCTCTAGCTCAGTTGCCAAATGAAGTGTCAGTGGGAAAGGGAGAAACCCACAGACAGCCTAAGGCAGAGTGTATTGATAAGTCACTGATGCCACTCAAACCTCAGAAAAAGAATCTGAAAAGCAGAAGGGAGGAAGGCCAGCTGCCTTTTGAATACTATTCACTGTATATCACCATACAGACCCCCATCTCCTTTTTTTTTTCAATAACTGAGAAACGTCAGCATAAATCCATCACCCAGGATCACTTCTTTCATCTTAAGGTGCATTCAACCTGAGTCGTTATTTTGTCTTCTTTGCTCACCCTCCCACCAGGGCCATCCTCTTGAATGCTACTATTTCTTCCATAAACTCCCCTCCTGCCTTACCATAACAGTTCAACCCGTCTCCACTGTAGCCTTCCAAACACTTGCAGACATAGCTACCCTCAGTGTTGATGCACTCAGACGATTCTGGCCGGCAAAGCACATTATCCATTTCACATTCATCAATATCTATGAGGAAAACAGTTTAATAGGTAAGGTGTGGAGACTTCCCTGAAGTAAACGGTCAAAGTATGAAAGAAGGAAATATGGCAGTTCACAATCCTAAGCAACATCCCTAAGCTTGGACATAGAGTTAGTTTCAGGACTTGAATACAGGTCTTTCCAAGCTCTACAGTCATTTCTCTATCCATTACACCCCACTTTATGCACTAGTAATATAAAGATTTTGTTGTTTAGTCATTCAGTTGTATTTGATTTTTCATGGCCCCAGTAGGAGTTTTCTTGACCAAGATATTAAAGTAGATTACTGTTTCCTTCTTCAGCTCAGCTTACAGATGAGGAAACTGAGGCAAACAGGGTTAAGTGACTTGCCCAGGTTCACACAGCTAGTAAGTGTCTGAGGCCAGATTTTAACTCTGGTCTTCCTGACTCCAAGCCCGGCACTCTATCCACTGTGCCACCTAGCTTCCCATAACATAAAGAAAAACAAGTTAATTTCTGCTCTCAGGAAGTTTATATGGGTGAATACATTTTAGTACTAAAGATTATGTTCATTATACTTATGTCAATCCCTTCCACAGATTCTTTTCCAGCTAATGACAATATACGTTTTGTGGTTACCAATGCAAGCTAGAAATGAATACAACACAAGTTACTGCCTAACAGTAACTACCTGAGCTCTTGAAAAATAAATACTTTTGGTGGGCCTGAAAAGATGATTTTTAAATTATGTTTGTGTTTACTCTTTTGTTGCCAAAGCTAATTGTTGACTTTTCTTCTTGTTAAAGCTAATTGTATGTAATCATATTCTAAAATAATCTTTTAGAATAATGTGACAAAATACTTGACGTCTCATGTTTTTCTATAATTTATTTCTTCCATTCTGTTCATCTGATAATGAAGAAAATGTCTCAGATCTGATGGTTCCAGCAGACTTTGGGAAGGCAGGATTTTAATTCAGTGAGAGCTAAAGAAAAGGTTTATTAATGTTCCTAGTTCTATGTGTTTAAGTCTTTATAATTACCAGAGCAGACGGTTCCATTCCTGGTGAATCCTTCCAAGCACTGACACCAGGCATCCTTTCCCTCTGAAGTGCACTGAGCATTCACACCACAATCCACAGGGGCACAGCCATCCTCATCTGCAAACAGAGAAAACTACCATCAGAGTATTTCTGAGTCTTTGAAGAGAAAGTGAATTTTCATGTTCCAGGTCCTACAAAATATTTCAGGATTCTACTTCTTGCCCAAGTCCTAAGGAGGGCTAAACCCCAAATGGACTTTTCTCCACAAGCACTTTGCTGACTTTTGAAAGCTTGTCTAGGTCAAGGGAATTGTAAAGCATGTGCTTCTGATTTATTTACAAGCAATTCATCAAATTGGTGCTTAAAAAACTATCTGGTGTCCCAAGAAGCTTTGTGAGTCCATTTGTGTGCTTTTTAAAGCAATTTTTAAAAGAAAATTTAAACTATAACTTGGCATTCTTTCAAGAATAAATGGATTCAGATTTCAAAAGTTTCAACATTCTGTTGGCAGTCCTCAACTAGCATGGCAGTAGGACAGAACCAATATAATTCTTATGACCCCAATAAAAGGCAAATAGGCTTAAAATATGAGTAGGTTTGTGTACTAACATAGAAAAAAATCCAACCATAAAAGTCTTATCCTCAATTTACTGAAATCATATGTGCCATGACACAGGAAATTAGAATGTGAATGTCACTGTACATATTCATTATCGAGATTTATGCAGTAACTTGCAAACCTCAAGGCATTTTACAGAATCACAAACCATGCAAGCTAAATACTGTAAAGGGATCATCTCATTTAGTACTCCATGGAAATGCAGCTCCCTCCAGAGACAAGAGTAAGGCTTTGAGCAGCAGGCAGCAGCAACATTCTAAGGGAGGTATTTTTTGAACGACTCACTTATGCAATAATTCTCTGAAATGTGAATTCACTTTGGAAACAGGAATATCCCATCAGAAGGGTAGATTATAAAACCCAGCTGCATTAGAACATCTCCTCTATAACTGATAGAGGAAATCTAACTGTGCCCAGCTATGTGGAAAGGCTGTGACAACAGATCCCCTGAGAAGCAATACAGTAGAAAGAATTATGAATTGGGAATCATAGGAGTTGAGTTTGAATCCTGACTCTGCCATGTACTGCCTACAATACCTTGGGCAAGTCATCTACCCTCCATCAGCCTCAGTTTCCACATTTGTAAAACAAGGAGGCTGGATGAGATGACTTCTAAGTTCCCTTCCACTCTACAACCCTCTGTTTTGGGCACCATGGTTTTAAAAGGACAATGATAAACTGGAGCATGCCCAGAAAGTAGCGAGGCTAGTGAAGGGCCTTTGAGTCCCATGGAAAATCAGGTGAGCAGAAAAGCTGAAAAGTGGGTGGGGGTTGGGTAGAAATGAAGATACCTTGTTTGGGGGCATGGGAAAGGAACGAAGATAGACTGGCCTGAGCCCATCCACCAAATGGAGACTTCAGGAGGAACTCACTAAAGGAAGGCGGGTGGAATATTCCAGGATGAGCTGGATGCAGGGTTGGTAGACCATCCCAGGGTAAGGAGGCCTGGGGCACTGAGGAAGTTTCAGGATGATACAACAGTAGACGCAGGGTTTTGAAGCCCAGAGCGGGTATTATCATGAAATAAACTGAGGCCCAGGAAAGTTGAGCAATTTGCCCAAGGTTATATAGCAAATCTGCAGTAGAACCCACCTCCTGATTCCTTGTATAGTGAAAGATCTTATCCTGGATAAGAAAAGACTTGCGGTGGGGAAGGGTGGAGAACATAACTTTCTTGAAGTATCTGAAGGGCTCTCGTGTGGAAGAGGAATTACCTTTATTCAGCTCAACCCCAGAGGGCAGAAATAGGAGCAAGGGATGTGGGGAAAATTGTCAAGTAGGGGTTTGAGGTCAAGACAAACTTCCTAACAAGTTCTATTCATAATGTATGAGATTAAGTCTTGTGACATTCTGTTTCTCACCTCTTTTGATAGTTACCACCTTTCCTGATTTTACATCATATGTTACACCTGTGACAACCTGGCTGCCTTCTTCTCTCGTTCTCAAGACCCTGAGATAATACAAACAAAATGGAGCCTGAGATACTGCTGCCCTCCCAACTAGACATAGATTTAGAGAATTAGGTCCTCAAAGCCAAGTGGTGCCAAACTCAAACAGAAAGCTTGACGTTGCTGTTGTTATTGTCGAACCATTTTAGTCATGGTCCAACTGTTTGTCACCCCATTTGGGGTTTTCTTTGGCAAAGATACTGGAGCAGTTTGCCATTTCCTTCTCCAGATCTTTTTATCGATGAGGAAACTGAAGTAAACAGGGTTAAGGGACTTGCACAGGGTCACACAACTAGTAAATGTTTGAAGCTGGATTTGAACTCACAGACATGAGTATTCCTGATTCCAAGCCCAGAGCCCTATGCACAGTGGCGCCACCTGGCTGCCCAAAATAGAAAGCATATCGATTTCAAAAACAACAAAGGAACATTATCTGTGTTCTGTTGCATTCTCATTTATTTTTTAAGCATTTCCCAATTATATTTTAATCTGGTTCTGCCAGGGAAATTTAACATTCTAGTCCAATCCCCTCCATTTCACAGATGAGGAAAATGAGACCCAAGGAAGCTAAGTGACTTACCTAAGTTCCCATAGATAGTGTCAGTGGGAAGATTTGAACCCAGTTCTTGTGACTCCAGAATCAGTGTACTTTCAGCTCTATAGAATGATTCTCTCAGTCTTGATCCTCTTTGGGTTAGGCCTTTGTAATATTAGTGTTTATAATATAATATTGTCTCTACTTCTATTCTTACTATGAATTTATAATTCTTATTTATAAATTATGATTCATATTTGTATAGCATTATCACAGTGTCTGGTACATGGTAGATGCTTAATAAATGCTTGTTCCTTTCCTTTTCTTCTACCTCTGATTTTTTTTTTAATATTAAATGGACATGGCTTTATTGCTGCCTTACCAAAAGCAACATCAATCTTCCCATGGTCTCATTTTCGTGTTTTTCCTACCAGAGTCAAGCAACAACAGGTAAGGATGGCAGTCCACACTCCCATTTTGGTTCGTAATCTGGGGAGTGGTCTTTAAAGTGAAATTCTTTGAGAACCATGGTTTTGATAGGTTCCCAATGGTCTAGCAAGCTAAGGGCAGAATATGGAACAAAATTCTAAGTTTTTGCAATGGTCAACTTAATATGTAGCACCAGACTAGTCCCACAGCATTTCTGTGCTTACTCTGCTATCTGGAAAAGGAGACTAGCAATGTTTATACCTTGTGAATCCCATCAGCTTTTATTTGGCAATTAGCATCTAGCTGCTACAAGTATTGTTCTGTCTCTCTCTGTCTCTCTCTGTCTCTCTGTGTGTGTGTCTCTCTCTCTGCACTCATCAAAGGATTAGAGGATGACAAACAAAATTATGGCAGAGAATAAACTAGAGAACTCAGATGTGGGTGGTTGGCACTATCATTACACCCCAGACTTCACCCTTTTTTTTTTGCTTTTGTTTTCAGCATAATTTCTTCCTGGAGAATTTTCAAGACCATAACCTCCCACATGGGCTGTACACGAGTCCGATTCATGCCCTGCCTTCTAAAGAAAGAAAAGTCAGAGGAAGAAAGGAATCTGAAATCAGAAGTTCAGGAGCGCTGGCCTCGTGCAGACACAACCTCATTTTAAATAGGGGATCAAGTTAACGTAGTTGGAAAATTCAGTCGTAGGACCTTGGAAATCATGTGGTCTAATTCCCTCAATTGTTCATATTAAGGATACTGAAGCCCAGAAGAGGTAAATGACTTACCCATGGTTACACAGGCAGTAGGTAACAGAGCAAGAATTTGAACCCAGATCCTCTGCTTCCAGATCTAATGCTCTTAGCATTTACCAGCCAATCACCATATTGTCTGTCTTCATCAGTAAATGATCTATATGGACCAGAAGTAGGAGAAAGAACTCATTGATCCTACCTGTAACCATGATTTCAGCTACTAGTCCATGTTTGGGCTGTTGCTCCACCCTGTTGTTATCTTCCAATGTTCTTCCCAACACATTCTCCAGTGCTGTTGTATCATTGCTTAGATTCATCTTACTGGCTGTTGGAGAAGAGTAGGTAGAATGTTTTATCATTTTTATTCAAGAAAAGCATTTCTCTTATTGGTATTTAGAGTAGAATTTTGCTTGCAAGTTCAGAGCTTGCTCAGAGTACAGGACAATAGCCCTGGGCCAGTAGCTCTGGGGTCTTTTCAAACACACAATGGAAATAGGCTAGGATGAAGTAGGATATACAGCCAGCTACTACTAATGAATATCCACAGTTTTATATTGAATATCAGACCCTAAATTGTTCTCCACAAACACATACAACCCATCACCAAAACAAAGACATGGGACTATCTCTCTCCATTTGCATTTATATTCTTTAGTATGCTCTATTATGTCCTTTCTTCTTCAACACTGCCCTTAATATTCATTTTAATCTAAATTTCCTTTTTAAAAAATTGGGGAATTAGGCACCTCAAAATGCGATTTATTCTGGAACTTCACAGTCCCCTCTCACATGCCCAACCGCTGAACCACACCCAGAAAAGTCCACACAAATTTCCTAACTCAACAATTAAGACAAAGGCTAAAAATTCAATTACTGGCATTTTACAAAGGATGAATTCATCGATAGACTTAGTTATCTGTTTATCAGTATGCCAATTTCTACCTTGATAAGTATGGATTGAAAAAAATTAAAGGATTCAAATTTTAAAATAAATTATCTGATCTTCCTTAGAGCAACACAGTTATCGATCAGTGAACTAAGACACACAAAATTAGATTTTTAGAAAGTTTATATAGTGAAATGGAAAAACACATCCCTCCTCCAGTGGCCTATTATATTTGCTTTGTTTTCTTTACCTATCCCTCAGAGGCTTGGTTAGAGTGAATAAATGTAGATTCTTTCAAGGTAGCATGACAGAAAGAGTCCAGACTCTAAAACCAGAGGATTTGGGTTCAAATTCTACCTCACAGCTTGTGTGACCTTGGTCAGCTCACTTAACTTCCCTTTCTTCAACTTTACAATGAAGGAGTTAGACCAGATGGCTTCTGAGCTTCCTTCCAGCATTCTGGATTGAGGATTTATAACCCCTTCTTCTGAGGGTATTTTTACAGGTCTACTCCAAAGCTGACTTTTTGTTTTATTAATGAGAACAGCTCTAGAATCTGGTCCTAAGTTCAGAAGCAGCAGGAAAAGCAGGATGCATTTTTGTTTGTTTCATTGGTTGGTTTTGGCTTTCTTACAAGGCACAAAGTTCTGCTCTGATTCTTCATTGTGGCACGAAGGTGCCCCTGGGTTTTTCAAGCTAATGCAGGTACAACAAAATGGAAAGTCTTCAAGAATAATCCCAGCAAGAAATAATGCCTGCTTTCTGAAAATCAACCTAGTAAAATATAGAGACTTTCACTGCCAGTTGGGTTGGCCAAGCCTATGTTTCCAAACTCATTACACATTAGTCTCCCTCCTGCCAAACTGGCTTTCTCTCTAATCCTTATAAATAACATTTTATCTCCAGTCCCTATGTTTTTGAATTGACTGTCCCCCATGCCTGGAATGTACTTCCTCCTCACCTGCATCTCATAGAATCCCTCTCTTTCAAGAGCTCACACACACTCTCCTCAACAGAGTTCTTTATCAGGAATCTGTGTACATGTGTTTAAAAAAATTTTTTAAACTATTTCAATACAATCCATTTCCTTGGAACCTTTCTGTTTTATTTTATGCATTTAAAAACAATATCCTAAGAAGGGGTCCATAGGTTTCACCAGATTGCCAAAGGGGTTCTATGACACAAAAAGGCTTTTGAAGCTTTTCCTGATCCATTTCCTAATCCATTTCCTCACTCTCCACTACCAACGCCCTGTGTCTCAAACTAATGTGTATTTAACAATATTGTACATATTTGCATTTTTTTCATGTTTATTCTGCATATGTCTTTGTTGCCTCCCCAACTAGTATGCCATTTCCTGGTAAGTAGAGTCTGCTACATTATTTGCATATTTATTGCCTAGCACAATTCTTGGAACTTGGTGATTAATAAATGCCTGTTGTTTGGTTGAACAGGTGAAAATACATCATCATCATCACTGTCATCAGATATACTGTCATCTTGGTTTGCAGCAATTGTGCATAGGCATGAGATGAAGATAATTGCTACTTAGGGACCAATATTTGTTATGAAAGATGAAGAAGTAGAGAACATCTTTGGAGAAAAGTGACAAAAAAATTAAAAAGAAAGTGACAAGACCCTCTAAGCCAGTTAATATATATTTTGATACTTGGTGAATTCTGTGGTGGGAAAAATCTGTTTTAAAATTGGGGGAGATAAAAAATGAATGAAACCAAACACTTATAGCTTACTAAAAAGCTGCTTATCTCTATATCTTAGATGTTTCCTTCAAGAAAAGAATTGGAAGATGCTATAGACATAGTGGTCACCAAACATTACTCCAAAATATGAAATTAACTGACACAGTAAATAACCAGTTCCTAACATTTCAGAATCAGTGGTCGGTGGCTGGAGCAAAGGTCAAAATCAACACCAAATTAGAACAAAAACTAGAAATAAAAAGACATTACATGAAATTACAATAGTTCCAATTCCACTCAATTTCTTTAATAAAGCATTCACCCTGCAAAGTGAGAAACTGATTAAAATAAAGACACTGGCACTACTTACCAATCCTTAGAGTTTACCCGATGTAAAACAATTTAAAACCCAACAAAGAGGCCAGAAGAGTTAAGAAAATTTCTCAGCCAACAAACAGGAACATGGCAGTTAAGAGAAATACTGGTTTGCCATGAAGCTCATATGCAAAACAGCGTAGAGAAGAAGGACGAAAGCTTATGAGTTCTATCTTCTTATAAAACAACAAAAAGTGAGGGATGAGAAAATGAGCCATACCAATCTTGGTGTAAGACCCTACTAAGCCAATTTGACTAGACAAAAGAACAAAATCATTCCAATAACATTTATAAACAAAATTAGGAAGAAATCAACAAAAAGATGGGAAAGGACAGAGATCTGCTAGAACCTATTACTTGGGGATTTTAAAAGCTGGTACTGACCTAGTGTTCAAAATAAAGAAGTAGAAAGAGCACATAAGAAGATGAAGGTGGGAAGAGAAGTTGATCCTGATTAAATGTATACAGAAAAAATCTTTTTTGCTGGCTACACACCTTGGAATCAATTTTCCTAAAGACATTTAGATATTTCAACTTTCAAGATATGCCAGAGGTGAAGAGTCCAAAGGATTAAAAAGGATAATGAGTAATACTATTACTTTGTTAAAAATAGATAGATAGATAGATAACCAAGAAGATAACCAAAACAGATCAATATGCCTCCTTTCTTAATTCTATAAACCTTTATGACAGTGTTCTATAAGCACATTAAGTGAAGATGCAAAATCCTCAAGGAAGATAGGAGGGGGGGCAAGGGGAGAGGGAGGGAGAGAGAGAGATGAAGGGGAGGAGAGAAAGAGACAGACAGACAGAGAGAGATGAGGAGGAGGAGGAGGAAGGGAGAGAGAAAAAGGGGGAGAGAGAAGAGAGAGAGAGAGAGAGAGAGAGAGAGAGAGAGAGAGAGAGAGAGAGAGGAGAGAGGAGAAGAGAGAGGGGGAGGGAGGGAGGGAGAGAAAGGAAGAAAGAGAGAAGAAGGAGGGGGAGAGAGAGAGAGGGAAGAGAGAGGGAGGGAGGAAGGGAGAAAAAAGAAGAAGAAAAACATAATGATGAAAATGAAGGAGGAGGAAACCACTATATTATATACATATTTCAAACACTTTACCCCACCCACAGGAAATAACTGGTAGTAAACAAATTCTCTCTTTGAAAATATATAGCTGAAATATGTTTTAAAATCTATGGCCATATGTGATTTTCCAGCACTAAATTTGCATGCCTTTGGTCACATTAAGTCTTGTTACCCTTTGGGCTTTGACCTTTTTGCATTGGTTAAAATATTACATTGCAATAAAAACGACTACCTGCTTCGGTCTGATGACTGTTCAGAGACTGGCACTTTTTACCATCTTGGGTTTTCTGAAAGCCTTCCTGACACAAGCATTGAGCGATTCCAAATGTCTCTTTACAAATGTGCTCACAGCCTCCATTTTTATATGTGCAGGGATCAGCTCCTAAAGGAAAAAGAGACGTGTTCACAGATCTACCAGAAATATGAAAGGAAGCTATTGACTCAAATCACAATGCACAGATCCCTCTCTGGGAGAACATGTTATGCCCTCTTACACAATGATTAGGAGGTTCCCAAGAAGAGCTGTTGATCCTATATTATTTGGATGCTATGGAACGTGGCATGTGTCTGACTCTGAGACAATCCTAGGTAGAAGCATTCCTGTTTCCTGGCTCACAGTGTCCAAATAATCAAAAAGGAGACATGGTAGGACTACTCTAGTTTTCTTTTCCATTTAGTATAGCTGATGATGACACTCTCTCTAACCACTGATGCTACTGATCTTCAGCTCTAGCTAAAGGTAGTTAGCTATGCGGAATTCATTTTGTCTCTAAAGCCCAAGACCGAGAAGTCCCCATGACATATATTTGAATTCCTCTTTATTTGTACCTACAGCCATTTTTGTCATGTAAGTACATAGCCAAACAAACTTTAAAGGATAAGGAAAGATGACTGTGAGGATAGAAACAAATGTATTAGGGCACACAATACTGTATAATTTGGGACAGCTAGATGGCACAGGGTATAGAGTATCAGGCCTGCAGTCAGGAATACTCCTCTTCCTGAGTTCAAATTCAACCTCAAGCATGAGGGTTAACTGGGCAAGTCATTTAACTCTGCTTGCCTCAGTTTTCTCATCTGAAAATGAGCTGGAGAAGGAAATGGCAAACCACTTCAGTATCTTTGCCAAAAAAGCCCCAAAAGGGTTCATGACAGGTCAGACACAAGAAAAAAACAACAACTAAAATTGTATAATTTCTACCAAATTGCTTTAGTTGAAATGAAGACTAGATTTCAGGAAAACTAAAGATTTCCTCAGAGAAGTAAAAGTAGCAAAGTTCCCATACCCTCACCCCAAATCAGCAGAAGCCATCCAAATCACAACTGCATCACATTCCCAGTGTACCTGGTTTTGCCAAAGGATGGATTACAACCAAGGATGAGGGTCTCAGCATGCTGCCTCGAAGACATACCCTGTTTTTGCCAGTTCTCTTGTCCACCCTTATTACTGAAGACTTAGCCCAGTCAGAGAACCAAACATGATCCTCGAATACAGCCACAGCAAATGGGTGATCTGGAAGAAAGGCATAGCAATTAACTATACCTTTTCTTTGCAGAGTATATTTACAAAGACAAGAACTTGAAATTTAAAGTAATATGTGCAAACAGGAGAAGAGGCCACTAAACTGTACATAAGGATCTCTGCTGGCCACACATTGACTTAGAAAATCACATATTTCCATTATCTATGTTCTATTGCATTTTTATTTCTCTCGTTTAATATTTCCCAATTACATCTGAATCTGGTTCCAGAGGCACTTGGAAATGTTGCTACCCACAGCGCAGCCTTGGAGGGGGTTAGGGAGAGACTGTGTTTTACACCTTGGTGTAGTGGACGGAGAGGCCAGTGGACAGACAGACCTAAGTTCATGTCCCACCTATGACATAGCCAGGCTTTGTAAGGCCAAGGCAACGAGGTGGTTCAGTGGTGAGGGTGCTGGCCCTGGAGTAAAGAAGATGAGTTCAAATCTAGCCTCAGATGCTGACTAGCTAAGTGATCCTTAAGCTTCTTCTGCCTCAGTTTTCTCAGTTGTAAAATGGGGGCAATAATAGCAACTCTCTCACCACGTTTCTGTGAGAATCAAATGAAGTAATAGTTGTAAAGCCTTTGATAAATGCTGTCTCTTATTTTAACTGTGACCTCGGATACACTACCCACCCTCTGAGTCCGCTGGACAACTCTCAGACTATGCTGCAAGAGAGTTACTGACCAAGAACCCGATACATGTCTGGATACAAAAAGGGGGGACACACATATTTACACACACTTACCTACATAATTCCTGCAGCAGATTGAGAGGAACCAGACATTGTCTAATATTGTTAACTAGCCAACAACAGGAACATAAACTCACAAGTCTAGATGACCTGATTTTGAGTCAGGAGCCCAGGGATATGAGGTTGTGGTCAAAGGTTCAATCCCCTATGGGATCGGCTGGCTGTGTCACACTCCCAAGCATGGCCCAAACCAGATTAAAATGTAACTGGGAAATTTTGAACAAAATAAATAAAAATGCAATAAAACACTGATAATGTGAATGTGGTTTTCTAGGTTCATATGCAGCCTGCAGGGATGGTTTAGTGGCCCCTATTTCTAGTTGAGATTGACACTACTTTCCTAACTCGGGAGGTTTCTTCACAGGAAGGTGGCAAAAATGAAGCCAATAGGGGCTCTCTCTACAGCTACCCTAGAGCCAGCCAGCATGTGCTCTACCATCTCTGACATTAAGCAGACTGAGTGACTTCCAGCAAGGCACTAACTTCTTTGTCTCAATTTCTTCTTCTGTAAAATGGGGTTAAAATATCTCTTTCCTGCCCCTTTCCACCATTTGCCCTGGGAACAGTAATCAAATCAGCACTGCCATTGTTTCTGGGCAGGGCTTGTCAATCCACTGCCCAGATGGTTCCAGGAACCCTCCCAACTACTTTACCCTTCCTTGTCTACCATTCCCCTACATGTGCTGTTCCCCTTTTTAGAATGTAAATTCCTTGAGGGCAGGAATTATATTTCTTTTATATTTCTATGTCCATCTCTTAGCATTGAGTTTAACACTTAATAATTGGTTTTTACATTTATTCACCAAATCGTTGCAAGAAATGAATTTGAAAGCAATATTTGTGTAATAAGATCACAATTATCTGATGCCACTTTCTGCAACTTCCCCTCTTTTTCCCAATCCCAACCTGCAATTCAGTGCACGGGATCAGAAATTCAGACTACACACACATTCCCCGGGTGAAACTTACACCTTTTCCAGTACAAAATACTGCAATTTGCTTTTGATAAAAATTTAAGGAATGTAAACAAATTCATGGAGAGATCTAGAAAATAAATAGGGGCTCTAGGGTCCTGTTGAAAACAACACAGATGTCTACATATATTTAAAGGACACCTGCATCAACAGCATCATTGTAACTAACATTTATATAGCAGTTATTGTAAGCATTTTATAATTACTATCTCATTTGATCTTCACAACAACCCTGGGAGGTAAGTGGCATTATGACCCCCTTGAGAGATAGGAAACTGAGGCAAACCCAGGTTAAGTTACTTGCCCAGGGTCATTCAACTCATAAGTGTCTGAGACCACATTTGAACTCGGGCCTTTTTGATACCAGGCCTAGCACTCTATCCACTGTCCCATGTAACAGCATAGTCAGAATTAGTCAGAAAGATCTGGATTCAAGCCTCCCTCTAATACATACTGGCTCTATGACCCTGGACAAGTCAATTACCTACCAGGTGCCCCAGGAAGCTCCAGAAAAGTTGCTATCTGCACTGGTGGAGAACTTCCTCACTGGAAGTCATGAAAATATAGCTCCACATTAAACCCCCCAACACATACACTCTCACACAGTTGAACTAAAAAGTAGTGAGAGTGGTTTCTTTAGGTTACATGCAACAAAAAAAGTCTCATTGTTTTATAATTATACTTCATCTATGTGCATGGGATTTCTTTTCTACTTTAGCAAATCCTGATCTTGTTAATTTGGGGGAGGGACACAGAGGGAGAGAGAGAGAAGAGAGAGAGAGAGAGAGAGAGAGAGAGAGAGAGAGAGAGAGAGAGAGAGAGAGAGAGATGTATCAATCTTTTGAAGTTGTCTCTTTCTAAAGGAGAGATCTTAGAAAGATCTAATGGAAAAATCTTAGCTGAATTGGCTTCCACATGATGTTGTCTTTATATCCTGAGAGAAACTTATTTAATTTTTGCTTTTTTGTACCAAAAAAAATATATGCATGATCACTTTCCCATGTATTTAATTTCCCTAGTAGGTTTAAAAATAAGAATTAAGTTTACATAATAAAGATGATGCATACAGAATAGACAAATGAATGGAAGAATACTGAATGGATAAAGAATTCTCTAAATGACAGCAAATCAGCAGGCCAATTCATTTTTTCAAAAACATTAATATAGTGAAAGAAGCAGTTGCTTGACATGCATCTATTCATTCATTCGACAAATAAATATTCAATAGTTCTCAACCCTTTTCTAAGTATGAGGAAACTTTTTATAACATAAAGAGATTTCACAAAACCCTATGATAGTAATTACAGCATTAGGACCCACTGTTTAAAAATATGCATCATGACAAAACAAGACTATAAATTAAGTACCTTTTAAATGAATACATATTTTGTCGATCACAGCATCTGCACAGATTTGGAAAATTGTACAAGGGAAAGAGCTCTGGATTTGGCATCAGAGGAGCTAGGTTTGAATCTCATCTCTGCCACCTGGGTCACCCTCTGGGGAAGCCCACAAGTGGGGAACCCATTGGACTATGTTAAGCATTCAAGTATTTAAGCAGAGAATTTTTTGTCTTTTGTCATTGTATTCCCAGCATCTAACACAGTGCCTAGTACACTGGTGTTGTTGTTGAGGCATTCCAGTCACGCCTGACTCTTTATGACCCTATCTGAGGCTTTCTTGGCAAAGATACTAGGGTGGCTTGCTACTTCCTTCTCCAGCCCATTTTACAGATGAGGAACTGAGGCAAACAGGGTTAAGTGACTTGCCCAGGGTCACACAAATAGTAAGTGTCTGAAGCCAGATTTGAACTTATGAAGATGAGTCTTCCTGATTCCAAGCCCAACACTGATTCCAAGTACCACTTCACTACTCTATAGGAAGCATTCCATTTAGTTCATCAACTCTGTGGATTCAAGCATAAGACGAACCAGACCCAAGTTTACAGATTCAATCTATATATGGGCAATTCAGCTTTATAAAGAGAAAGAAAATCTTACTCATGGTACACCCACTGAACCATGCATGCTACATTCCTTGCCAATGGGTTTCAATGGTACAAAAAGAAGATCAGGTAAAGAGAACAGGGATTTATTTGAACCAATTCATCCCCATAGCTTAAAATAAAACACCTAGAAGTGCTTTGTTTTGAGCTACGGGTACTCAGCTTGTACTATTGATTCAAGCGAGTCAATAGGACATTTCCATACTGAAAGGGCAGAATGTTACTCCATCCAAACTGCTATAATATACAGGACATCCAAAAAGTCTTACTGCCATTTGAAGCTTTAATAACTTAAATTGCTCAAGACATTAAATTAAAGCTTTAGTAGCTTAAAATGACACTAAGACTCTTGGGACATTCTGTGTCTCAGATCTCTAGCTCTTAGCTCAGGTTGAATAAGTAGATTTGGAGTTCCATAGCAAAGAAAGTGTTCTTTCTTATACTGCTAAAAGTTTTAACAAGTTTTAGATCTTAAAAGTCAAATACTTATTTTTGTTTATATGCTGAAATTTCTTTAAAAATCTGGGGTGAATTAGTTTAACCTTCATATTCAAATATGGAGGGAGACAACTGCTAACATCCAAATTGAGCACACCACCAGATGGCATCACTCTAATGAGAAAGATTCCCTAGTTGAGAAGAATTGCATAAAGAGAAAAACAACAGATGCCGAAGAAAGGACAAATGTCATGTAATGGAACTCTGGATTTGGAGTGTTTGTTTCCCAGCTCTGTTAATTGCTGCCTGAGCAACTCTGGGCAAGTCATTAACTTCTCTGGATCTCAGTTTCTTTTTCTGTAAAACAAAGAGGTTGGATTAGATGATCTCTGAAGATCCATCTCTAAGTCTTTGGGGCAAGCAAGATAGTAAACATAACACCTGCCATGCTTTTGAACTCTCTGAAATAACATACTACCTTTCACGCACATCTATGTACTTAGGTCTCATGCTATGAAATATACTACACTGCATCTGTGACTTCATTCATATAGGTATTCCCTCCAACAATACAGATTATGACCCATCCATGGCTGCCCATCCTATGTGACTTGCATCCACTGTAAATTATACCTTCTTTAAGTTTTTAAAAATTCTTTCAAATATACTTTTACAATTGCCTAATATACTTACTAGTGTAATCTTTGATCTCTTAAATAAGGCATATAAACAAACATCTCTAGAAAACAGATATTCAAAGAAGTGTTGATTAGATCCATTAGACCTTATAATTTCTCAACTCCTGGAGAGCAAGCACTATATGTCCTTATTAACCCCTCAGCACCTAGGACAGTAGTAAATATTTATCGCCTGAATGAATGTTTATCTAACCACTAACTCATATCTATATCTACAGAAGAAGACATTTTCTGATATTAAAAAAAAAATTAAAAACACAAAAAAAGTGTTTGGAGTTTTTGTTTTTGTCTCTTAAAATTTCATTCATTATGATACAACAGAAAGAACACAGGTTTTGGAGTCTGAGGACACATTGTGAATTTCGCCCTGCTCCATCCTACCAGTATGACCTTGGACATGTAAATTAACTTCTCTGAGGCTCAGTTTCTTCATTTATAAAATGAGGAGGTTGGACTACATGATTTCCAAGGTCCCTTCCACCTCCACATCTATGATTCCATGAATATAAATAATCAAAATTACTGCATTTCAAGTGCTTTTCATCCAATATTGGAAAAATGTAGGAATGACTCAATGTTTCCTTAAATATAATAAGATCTGAACTTTATTAAACCTCAAAATGAGGACTTGTGTTACAAACTCTGAGGAAAAGATTGTATTATCTGAACTCTCTTGCTGATTCATGGATTATCTACACACACAGCTCACAATCTCTGGGGATTAGGAATCTCACTCTGGGTATATGTGTGTGTGTGCATGTGTAGGCAAACATATAATGTACATAGTAATGTCAACACAAACAATAGCAAGTAATCCTCTACCCCAAACCTCACCTACATCGTTCTGGATAAGTCTTCGGCGTCCCGACCCATCCAGATTGGCCATTTCAATAACAGATTGTTTGGCATCGCACCAATACAACTTGTCAGCTACGTAATCAATCGTTATTCCACTAGGCCAGACCAGATCAGTATTAGCTATAATCAGCCTGTCACTGCCTTGAAGAGATGAGCTTTCAATCCGTGGATTAATTCCCAAATCAGTCCAGAATAATTTCCTTTAATCCACAAAACAGAAAACAAATAAAGTTTGGAAGAATACGCTTCATTTTCCCATTATCTTACGTTTGTAAATTTCAATCTAAATTCCCTTAAAACAGACCACAGATAATCTGAAGAATAGACTAGAAGGGAAATATAACATGGAATCTTAAATAATCAATTTAAAGAAACAAAATAATTGCCTTCTATTACCCAACCACCTTGCACAAGAAATCCTAAACTTAGATCCATTCTGTCAGCTAAAAAGAAGACATCATTTTTATGACAATCTGAAGCTTATTGCTATTTTTAAATTAAATTCTATTTTTCCTTAGAAACCCATACTTAATCTTCAGTTTAATCACCTTTCAATTTTAATAGCAAAATACAATTAAACATTACAACTTTATTCCTGTCTGTTGCAATTTTGCCATCCAATGAAAGTAACATTGCATCAAGTGACCTGAAGCAAATTCAGCCAATTGGCCAATATAAGTATAATAATTCAGCTTCTGAGATGTAGCATAGCATAATGGGGAGAGACCAGAGTTCAGGGCAGGCCTCTGACATATATTGGCTGGATGACAATAGGCTAGTCATTTATGACCTTTCCGTGCCCAAAGGTAACCTTCTAAGACTATAAATTGCAAAGCATGTGCTGACCTCCATTAATAAAGGTAGCTTCCTCAGTGGGAGTTCCTTATACAGATAAAAATCACAGGTCTGGTAAGAAAGAAAAAAACGGAGGTCCCATAATAAAAATGTTAATGGCCTACCCCCCAGTAGGCTACGTAGACATATTTTATCTGTTTGTCTTGTTTCAAATAATTTATAATTCATTCATATGTTTTATCTCCTAATTTTTTAAAAAATGCTTGAGTTTTCAATAGGTTTAAGAGGATTTTTTAAAAATTGTTCCTATCAGGATACTACATCTACTGATAATCAGGGTCCTTTGAACCCTAAGCATGTCATCGAGAACAAAGCATATCTAAGATGCTGTTGTCAATCAAGGGTATAGTTTGTGTGTGTGTGGATGTGGGTGTGGGTGTGTGGGTGTGTGTGTGTGGTGTGTGTTATAAACCTCAAGTGACAAATTGATCACCACCTAAAGTCAGAATTTTTTGAGACTGAGACCTTGGGCCTTTTGGCCACATAATCTCACACACATGACATTTCCAGGAACATGCACATCCCAAGGAAACACCAAAACTGACAGATGGAAAAGGCCACCATGAGAAACCCTTAACTTGATATTGCCTTGCTACAAGGAATGTCCAAGATGAGAGACAGGCTGGTGTCTCTTTTAGGGTTATTAGAAGCACCCATTGCCTTCTCAAGCCCCAGCTCATCTGCCCTGCCCTCTTTATTTTGGAAACAGTTCTTTGAGGAACTTAAAAGCACAAACTAATCTTCAATCTAGAAATTGTTGTTAACTTCTGTTTCCTTAATTTCATTTTTTCCTTTGTTTTTCATCATAGATCCATGATTATCAATATTGTGTATATTCCAGTCTTTGATTTTTTCCCCCACTTCTTTGCATCTTAAACTAGGAATGGACTTTTAGTTTAAAAATCATATATGTTTTCAAACAGAATTCCAGAGGCATGTGGTGTGAAAATTCTCCTACTAACAAATAAAATGTCTTTGTTCTTTGAAAAAAATAAATTATCATCAGATAGAATTTTTTAAAAATAACCCCTAGCTGTCACGATTAGTGTTGAATGATGGACTAATGTCTCAAATTAGCCAGAGGAGTGAAAGTATACTAGAATGACAAGAAACAGCCCTTTGGGGAAGCACCTCTGATTTTATCATTTAGAGTTAGTCAGTTAAACCTTAAAAGACGGTCTTGTGTTTGGATTTCCACTGAACAGTAGACCTTTCAGTCTAACCCTGCATATTGATTTGTTGGCCATTAACCATATAGAACGATATAAGAAATGCCCCCATCCTCCATTAATTCATACTTGGCCGTTGGATGGACAGCAATTCCTCTTGGCTGAGACACATCTTTCTCAATGATCACTTCATTGTGTCTTCCATTCAAATCACTCCTGGCAATGTGTGATTTCCTGAAATGTATAAAACAGCAAGGAACTGAGTATCAGCTACACTTTCTAGGCAGATGCCCTTTTTTATCGTCATTCAAAGTAACAGAGACATTCCAATTTCATGGAGATGGTGATAACAGAGTGTAGTTTCTTTAACGTAAGTAAGCATGTAAGACATTTAAGACAATTAAAATATTAGCTAAAAGGCCCAAACTTTAAATGGCAGATTAAAAAATTATTTTAGTGCCTCTCTCTACATTTCTATGAAGATTATTGTTTAGAAATATCATCGGCTGGCATTTGTACCCAAAGGATATTAAAGTGCATGACTCATTCACCTTTTTCTCACTTCAGAAAGTTTATCAATGCCAGCCATCTCAGGAACCACAGATGGGACAACACCATCCTTCTCAATAATAGAATCTACCTCACAAGGTTGTGAGGATCAGACACCTACCTGGGCAGCACTTCATATTCTGAACCCTTCCTATTGCTTCCCTTACCCCGACCAAAAATCAAAACTAACTTCTAAGTTTTAGTCTTTCATCTTTGAGATGAGACGCCTAACCACATAAACTACTTCTTGCTGAGGTGCAGTGATATTTGCAATTTTAAAAGAGAGTCCTGGTTATAGTAATGCCTTAAATTAAAGGAATGAATTCCTAATGCAGAAAATTTCAATCAAGATTACCCAACAGTAGAGTAATAATAATAACAATTTATTGTCCAGTTGTGTCCTACTCTATGTGACTCCAAGGACTCTGTCCATGGGGTTTTCTTAGCAAAGATACTGGAATACCAAACAATGACCAAATGAGTCTTGGGCTGGGACCTATTTTTGGCCAATCAGTGACAGCCAGAGTGATTTGGATTTAAGGCATGCTTCTTTTTTTTTCTTTCTTAAATATAAATTTATTTATTTTTAGTTTTCAATATTTACTTCCACAAGATTTTGAGCTCCAAATTTTCACCCCATCTCGCCCCTACCCCCACCCCAAGATGGCATGCATTCTGAATATCCCTTCCCCTAGTCTGCCCTCTCTTCTATCTCTACCCCCCCCTTCTCTTATCCCCTTCCCCTTCTGTTTTCCTGTAGGGCAGGATAGACTTCTGCACCCCATTTCCTGTACTTCTTATTTCCCAGCTGAATGTGAAAACATTTTTTTTAAACATATGTTTTTAAAATTTTGGGTTCCAAATTTTCTCCCTTCCTTCCTCCCCATCCACCCAAATTGAAAAGGCAAGCAACTAAGTATAGGTTATACATGTATAGTTATGCAAAACACTTCCATATCCTACCCTCCCATTTATTCTATTCTTTCTTTTGACCCTGTCTCTCCTCAGAAGTATTTGCTTCTGATTACCCCCTTTCCCAATCTGCCCTCCTCTCTATCATCCCCCTGCTCTCTTGTCCCCTTCTCCCCCTATTTTCCTGTAGGGTAAGACAGATTTCCATACCCAATTGAATGTGTATGTTATTCCCTCCATAAGCTGAATCCTATTAGAATAAGATTCATTCATTCCCTCTCACCTTCCCTCATTTCCCCTCCACTGTAAGATCCTTTTCTTTTCTGTTTTTTTTTGTGAGATAATTTACCCCATTCTACCTCTCCCTTTCTTCTTCTCCTAGTATAATCCTCTCTCATCCCTTAATTTTATTCTCCAGATATGACCCCTTCATCTTCAACTCACCCTGTGCCATCTATCTATCTATCTATCTATCTATCTATCTATCTATCTATCTATCTATCTATCTATCTATCTATCTATCTGTCCGTCTGTCTGTCTGTCTCTCTGTCTGTCTGTCTGTCTCTCTGTCTGTCTGTCTGTCTATCTATCTATATACATACATATAATTTTTCCCTCCAACTACCCTAATACTGACAAAGGTCTCATGAGTTATAAAAATCATCTTTCCATGCAGGAATGTAAACAGTTCAACCTTAATAAGTCTCTTATGATTTCTCTTTCCTGTTTATAAGGCATGCTTCTTAAAAAAGAAATCTATCTTGTAAATCCCAAGATATCCTTTGAGGTTTCAGCCATCAAAATTAATATTCCTTTGGACAGAGAGCCCACAAGTAAGGATATGATTCCCTATGTGGACAGAGAGAGAAGAAGGAAAGGAAGGAAGGAAGGAAGGAAGGAAGGAAGGAAGGAAGGAAGGAAGGAAGGAAGGAAGGAAGGAAGGAAGGAAGGAAGGAAGGAAGGAGAGAGGGAGGGAGGAGGGAGGGAGGGAGGGAGGGAAGGAAGGAAGGAAGGAGGGAGAGAGGGAAAGAAGGAAGGAAGGAAGGAAGGAAGGAAGGAAGGAAGGAAGGAAGGAAGGAAGGAAGGAAGGAGAGGAAGGGAAGGAGAGAAGGAAGAAGGAAGGAAGGAAGGAAGGAAGGAAGGAAGGAAGGAAGGAAGGAAGGAAGGAAGGAAGGAAGGAAGGAAGGAAGGGAGGAAGGAGGAAGGGAGGGAGGGAGGGAGGGAAGGAAGGAAGGAAGGAAGGAAGGAAGGAAGGAAGGAAGGAAGGAAGGAAGGAAGGAAGGAGGAGGAGGAGGAGGGAGGGAAGGAAGGAAGGAAGGAAGGAAGGAAGGAAGGAAGGAAGGAAGGAACGGAGGGAGGGAGGGAGGGAGGAAGGAGGGAGGGAGGGAGGGAGGGAAGGAAGGGAGGGAAGAAAGAGCTGCTTTTCCCAAATGGAACTGGCCATTTGAGTCCCCAGTGGGGCAGCTACCACGATTCACAGATTGTTGATTGTTGTTCGTCCTTCCTTCTCAAAGAGAACTATGACATCAGGAAGGTGATGTCATGACTTTCAAGTGAATTGGATTTAAGTGAGGCAGTGCCTTGCAAAGTCTCCAACCTCACTCTCTCCTCCAGAGTCATCTGGGTCCAGTGGCAAGATATACCATGTTTCACTACGTAATCATTGAAGATTTCATGCCAAATTTTTTGCCCAAAAGTGGGGTGCAACCATCATGTGAAGCTTTTTAAATTGTGCCTATATTACTTAAAAATCATTTTTTACTAAACTGTCTTTGGTGCAAAATTAGGATGCACAGAATACTCATGAATATACATTCAAATTGAATACTGACAATACACATGCACTGAGAATTCTAGGCTCAGGATTCACGAAGCACGAGAGATAAATGTGTATCCATGTGGTGCTGGTGAATACATTGCTGCTCTGTTTACCTTTTAAGCAGAAACAGAATTATACCACGCAACAATTATGCAATGAAAGATTATAAACCAATTTTTGGACTGAAAAAACAGGGCGCAACAATTATGCAACGGCCACAATTATGCAGTGAAATATGGTAGATCAGGACAACTGGAGATGGTCATGCAGCGGGAGACCTTGGCCTTTTTAAGCTAAAGTCTTTCCTAGGTCTCAGTCTGACTGAGGCAATTAAACAGCAATTGTTTCTGTTTTGCCCAGAAACCCTGAAGATCCTCCCCTCCCAGACTGATTTTTTTTATTTGACTAGGTGAAAGAGACCTATTACCTCATTTTTTGACCTGGGAAAGACCTCAGCTTAGAAAGGCTGAGGTCTCCCACTATATGTGGAGCCATTTCTAGTCATCCTGATCTATATCTGGCCACTGGGACCAGATGGCTCTGGAGCAGAGAGTGAGCCTGGTGACCTTGCACAGCCCTCCCTCACTTAAATCCAATTCACTTGCAAGTCATGACATCACCTTCCCGATGTCATGGTCCCCTTTGAAAACCAAGGACAAACAACACCCCCAAACTGGAGTGCCATTTCCTTCCCCAGTGTGCCTACCATTTTATATATGAGGACCTGAGGCAAACAGTGGTTAAGTGACTTGTTCAGGGTCACACAGCTAGTAAGCATCTGAGGCCAGATTTAAACTCAGATCTTCCTGACCTGAGTTCTGGTGCTCTATTGACTGTACCACCTAGGTAACTCAATAATAATAATAGCTAACATTTATATAGTGTTTACCATGCACCAGGAACTGTACTAAGCACTTTACAATTATGATGTCATTTGGTCCTCACAACAATCCTTTGAGGAAGGTGGTATTATTATTCCCATTTCACAGATGAGAAAACTGGGACAAACAGAAGTTAAATGACTCAGACACAAATGTCAGGCAGGCACAAAGGTCTTCCTCCCTCCCAAGTTCTGCAGAAACTTCAGGGGGAAGGAGGCGGCTTCTCTACAGTTCATCCAAGCCTACTTGGTAGAAGGCAACACAATACAATGGGGGAAAAGCACTTGACTCTGGAGTCAAAGGACTCAGGTTCAAATCCCATCTCTGATAGGTTCTACTTGTATGATTGTGTGGAAGTAATTAACTTGTTCAGGTTTCAGTTTCCTCATCTGTAAGATGAAGGGCTTGGACCAAGAAGTTTCTGCAGCTGCTGACTCCAGCTCCATGACCTTACAATTTGATCTTTGAATCTTATGATTCAAAAAATAGAGCGCAAGAAGTTATTTCTGACCAAGTGTATGTTTAGAGAGTAGTAGGGAGTGACCAAGAAAAAAAAAAATTCTGGGAATAGGGTGGGTCTGTTGAGGGACTTGTAAACTGAGGAAATGTAAATGTAATTTTTTTAAAACTGCATTGTGACTTTAATGCCCAGTTTTAAAAGAGAATTTCACATTATGAATGAATTGGTAATAAGAAGAATAACGACGAATATTTTTTTTTAATTTTTAACTCTACGTGTCACTCTATGGTTACATACTCACAAATAACTGCCACGGAGCTGCATTATAGAAATGACCCCTGGGGCAAATTTTGACCCAGTTCCTGAGACAGGGGAGGGGTTGAATTATCTGATTTCAATGTAAGCATCTTCTCTAAATTCTTGTTACTGTTAGTATGAGTTATTATATGCAAATTATTTGAGAGGAAAATAAGCTCTTGAATATTCAGTAATTTCAGGGTAGGGTTGCTGGAATTTATATTTCTAGTTCCTTCCCTCACCCACATTCTCAGAAGCAAGACAGAAAGCTATTCTCAGACTCTGGTAGTTGCTGTGTGGAAATCAAAGCAATGGG